AAAAAAAGAAGTATCTTCATTTTCAGGGCAAAGAAATTTTATTTAATAAGAAACTCTCGTAAAATTTTATAGTAACTAAATTAAATAAGTTTTCTGTAGATTTAAAAATATATATATTATAAAATAGTTGTTAGAAAAGGTGCGCAATTTAATTTTCATTTTACTGTAACGAGATAATATTGCTTTTAAAAAGGAAAATTTAATTATGACTATCTTTTTTAGGTAAAGTATATTAAAAATTTTTTCTGCATTTCATATTTTAACGTTGATTTTAAATTCACCCGTTGCCAATGGATTCCATTAATACGAAGTTTATATTAGATTTCAAAAATTTAATATCAGATTTAAAAAAATTAAAGAGACGTTTTCAATTCTTAAAAATTGTTTTAAATATTTTTATATCCGATAACACATTTAGAATTTATTTCTCTCTAAAGGAAATTTGAATATTAGTAACTGATGAAGTTTAATGAAATAAAAGTGTCTTTTTGTTATGCAATATTTATTATGTATTTTAAATTCAGACGGATGTGATATTTATAAATTCAAAGTGTGGAATTTTTAATTTCGAAAAGTTGTATCGATTTATTGACATTTTTGTGACGAGCTGATGAAAAATTCCCTCAAGCAGAAGAAAAAAATCTTTACACACCTTATAGTTGTTAGAAATATTTTAATAAAAATTTTTTTAAATATATTTTTTTTATAGATTCTTTTATTCAAAATCACGAATACATATTTTTATTTTGCAAGGGTAACTTTTCATGACTGCATATTTATGTAAATGTATTGCTGAGTATGCTAACTTTGTACTATGCTGACTTTAACAAAGCACTCTTGTGATCCGATTTGACTGAAGGTAGTTTCCATAAGTTTTCAGGGGAACTATATCACCTCAAAGGATAATCAATATTGAAAATTGCTGCATATATTATTTATAATATGAATGTTTGTCACGGTGTCGAAAACACTTTAATTTTAATATTTTAAAAGATTGAATTACTTCAATTTTAAAGTGTTAATATATTGGGGGGTTAAATTCGAATTATTATCAAAAGTAATAAAATTCTTCGTAAACATTCAATTATGTTCAAAAATTATTAAAAAATTCTAGTCAAAATTTTCATTATCTTTATAAATAATAAAATTCTTCGCAGAAATTCGATTATTTTCAAAAATTTTAATAAAATTCTTGACAAAATTTCAATTATTTTTAAAAATTTTCAATATCTATTATTTTAATTAAATTATCCAAAAGAATTCAATTAATTAAAAAAATTTTAATAAAATTCAAAGAAAACTTTTAATTATTTTCATAAAATAATTAAAATTTCACAGAAATTCAATTATTTACAAATTTTTTTTATAAATTTCTTCGCAATATAATTCAATTATTTTTAAAATAAATAATAAAATTTTTACAGGGATTCAATTATTTTTCTAAATATAATTAATTTTTTTTTAGGAATTGAATTATTTTCATAAATAGTAAAACTCATCGCAGAAATTCAATTATTTTTGAGAATTTAAATAAAATTGTTTGCAGCTATTCAATTATTTTTAATACAATTTTACAGGAATTGCTAAAAAATTGTAGGTATAATTATTCTTAAAAATTTAATTTCAGTTCCTCGAAATAATCAATTATTTAAAAAAAGGTTTTTTTTTTTAAATTCTTTGGCAGAATTCAATTATTTACAAAAATATTAGAAATTTTCGCAGGAATTTAATTATATTCAAATATTTTACTGAAATTATTCGAAAGAAATCAATTATTTTGAATATACAATTTTAATTAAATTCTTCGATAAATGAAATTATCATTAAAAATTTTATTAAAACTCGTTAAACAAATTCAGTTATTTTCAATACAATTATTTAAAATGATTTTTCTAAAATTCTTCACTAGAATTCAATTATTTAAGGAAAAATAATAAAGTTCTTCTTAAGAATTCAATTATTTTTGAAAATTTTAATATAAATTTGTTGCAAGAATTCAATTATTTTTAAAAATTTTAATAAAATTCTTCGTATCAATTCAATTATTTAAAAAATTTTTGATAAAATTCTCAGCAAAATTTGAATTATTTTCAAAAATTTTCCTCAATTAAATGATTTTTAATATCTACAAATCATTTAGATTTTGAAACGTTGGAGTAAACTAATTTTTAAAAACTATTTGTCCGAATGTTTTCGTTTCATTCTCCTTTAATATCTACAATTTTAAATAAAATATTCCAAAGGAATTCAGTTATTAAAAAAAAAAATTAATAAAATTCTGAATAAAAAATAAGTTATATAGTGCTAATTATTTTCATAAAATATTAAAAATTTATCTGGAATTCAATTATTTACAAATTTTTTTATAAATTTGTTCGCAATAATTTCATTATTTTCATGAATTTTAAAATTTTCTAAAGAGATTCAATTATTTTCATAAATAATAAAACTCATTGCAGAATTTTAATTATTTTTAATACAATTTTAATCGAATTTCTCGAAAAATGTAATTATTCTTAAAAATTTTATTACAATTTGTCTCAAGAATTCAGTTATTTAAAAAGAAATTTTTATAAAATTCGTCTCAAGAATTCAATTATTTTCAAAAATTAATATAATTCTTCGCAGAAATCCAAATTATTTTTATGAATAATAAAATTTTTCTTCGAAATTCAATTATTTTCAAAAATTTTAATAAAATTCTCTGCAGAATTTCAATTATTTTTAATACAATTTTCATCAAATTTATCGAAAAATGAAATTATTCTTAAGAATTTTATTAAAATTTGTCAAGAGAATTCAATTATTTAAAAATTTGTTGATACAGTTCTTTATGAAAGATCAATAATTTTAAGATACATTCAAATAAAATATTTATTTTTGTATTTAAATAATTGAATTCTCGTAGAATTTTCTAATGAAAAATTGATTTAAAAATGAATTTCAGTTAAAATTTTAGATAATAATTGAATATTAAAAGCAAATATAGCGTGAATTTTTAGAAATAATTGAATTTTGAAATTAATTTTTCTTTTTTGAAAAATTGTAATTGAATTTTTTTTTTTATTATTTGAAGTTTCTATTTTCTAATACATGTTTAATTGAAGAATTGACGACTAATTGAAATTTGTAAAACTGAATATTGTAAATAAATATGGATTTGAAAAATTGTCGAAGAACTTTTTTCGAAAATTTAATTGATTTAAAGAAAAATTAAAAAAAAAAAAAAAATTTTTTAAATTTTAGTGAAAAATTCTTAAAAATAATAATTGAATGGAAATGATGAAAATAGTTTTGAAGAAGTATTATATTCTTGTAATATACATTTTATTGGTATGAAAAAAAAAATTTAATTTATACTTTTCAGTGAAATGTTTTCTTATTTTCCAGCTGAAAAAGTTCTATAGAATTTCACTAGCACGATTCTATACAATTTCTATACATGAATTCTACAAGATTTTAGTGATTTTTAATTAGAAAAAATATAAATGTTGTTAAATAATATTTTTCAATTTAAGTTATTGTAAAATTAAATTTTAAGAAGAATTTTAAGAAGAAACTACTTAAATACGAGCCAAGAATATTCCCTACTTGAATTAAGTGGCCCCACTTAATTTAAGTAGGGAATATTCTTGGCTCCTATTTAAGTATGTTCTTCTTAAAATTAGATTATCGTTTTTTTCCTGTGTGGTAATTTACCTGAATACCATTGGCAGACCCTTAGTTCCAAAAAGTTTTTTTTTTGTGAGGATGTCAATTTTTCTTAAACTTTTCTTAAAAAATATCAAATTTTCAAATATAGTTGTATGTTGTAACAAATTTAGTATTTTTAATAATTATTGATACAAGTTCAATGTGAAATAGAGGATATTTATTTATATTTATAAAGTTTGATATAATTTAGTCTGTACAGAAAATATCTCTTTTAGTCCATCAACAAAAAAATACGATTCACACTTTTCACATTTACACTATACTCGAAAATTTATAATAAATTTGTATATTAATATTTTTTTAAACATAAGATTCAATTTGAAGGGCTATGTAAAATTTGTACATTCAATTTAACAGAAAATTTGTGGTCAAGGGCAAGATCAAAGATCTTGTATAAAATGTATATGCTAACTCACCCAGTCAATATAAAAAATAGATTTTTATCCATCCAAAAGATGGAAGTCGACAAATTTTGTATAAGAAAAGAAAACCTCTGATAAAAGTGTGATTAGAGTATGCTCTTCGGGAAAACTTGATTGGCCAAATCCAAGATTCCACCTCGATTATGATACAGATGATGCAAAGCCAATTAATTGGTGACTTCTCTTGACATCGAATCCACTCCAGATACACACTAGGTTTTTATCTTTTTTGTTTTAAAAAAAGATTGTTATAAAAGGTGAGTTTAATTTTCGTCAATGTCTAACAACCTCTCTCCTTTGAGGTGAATCTTCAAACACAAATTATTAATCGGTTTATCATAAGCTTGAGTAAGTAGGACAATTATTTTGAATACGAATCTCCTTATGATATCTAATATCGTTTACAAGCATTATCATGATGCCCGTGTCTCTCGAGTAAACAAATCTAATCCGTTTGTCTCGGCGGCATTGAGAGTAGTGATGTTAGGCATCAGCATAACGGCAGTAGATAGTCAACACACAAGTGAGAGAGAGGTATAGTAATCGAACATAATGGTCCATACGGTTTGGGACTCTCGAGCTCTATTATTCTACTCTGAATCAACGAGAAACCTTCTCCCCTTCGCATACGATCGACTAATTTTGTTAACTACATGCTTACGACCATATCGATCTAAAATATATATCACACTAACTTTTATCCTTTTTTAAAAAAAAATTAGCTAGCATCCTTGAGACACTTTTCAAACTCTCTGAATAAGTCTCTTCAATAATTATTGTGATTGAAGCTCTGATCATTAGTCGAGCAATAACGAACGATTCAAAATAAGTTTTTATATGTTTAATTAACCAAATATTACTCACCAGAAGAGTATTTAAAGTTAGCGTCCTAGACTCTATTCAGTAGAATGATTTCATTTTCTTTTTCAAATATAATAATTAAAAAGAATTTCAGAAAATAATGGTAAAAGATAAAATAACTGGATAATTTATTCGCTCACCTGAAACAGAAAGAAAATAAAATGGAATTAGTTTGTTTCTTGTATAACATCAACTTCTGATAGGTAGTCAATTTTAACCACACAGAAGAAACGATAATCTAATTTTAAGAAGCGCCTCCTTAAATAGGAGCCAAGAATATTCCCTACTTAAATTAAGTGGCCCCATTTAAATTAAGTGGGAAATTCTTCAATTAAACATATTTTAGAAAATAAAAACTTCAAATAATAAAATAAAAATACAATTGCAACTTTAAAAAAAAATTAATTTCAAAATTCAATTATTTATAAAAAATCACACTATATTTGCTTTTAATATTCAATTATTATCTAAAATTTTAACTGACATGCATTTTTAAATACATATTTATTATAAAATTCTACGAGAATTCAATATTATTTAAATACAAAAATAAACATTTTATTTGAATGTTTCTTAAAATTTATCTTTCATATAAAGAATTTTGTCAACAAATTTTTAAATAATTGAATTCTCTTGACAAATTTTGAGAAGAATAATTTTAAGAATAATTTCATTTTTCGATAAATTTGATAAAAATTGTATTAAAAATAATTGAAATTCTGCTAAGAATTTTATTAAAATTTTTTAAAGTAATTAAATTTCGAAGAGAAATTTTATTAATTATAAAGGGGCCGTCCATATACCACGTGGACAGTTTTTCAAAGATTTTTGACCCCCCCCTCCCCCTTGTGGACACAGAAATACATGGGATCGTGGACATTTTCAAACTTTTTTACCCCCCCCCCCCCAAAGTGTCCACGTGGTATATGGACGACCCTAAAGATAATTAAAATTTTAATGAGAATTTTTACAAATTTTTTAACATAATTGGATTTCTGCGAAGAATTATATTATTTTTGAAAATAATTGAATTCTTGCGAAGAATTTTATTAATATTTTAAAGAAATAATTGAATGCTTGAGACGAATTTTAAATAAATTTCTTTTTAAATAATTGAAAACTTTTTAAAGAATTTTATTTAAATTTTTAAAAATAATTATACTCCTGAGAAGAATTAACTATATATTTAAATAATAATTTTTGAAAACAATTGAATTCATAAGAAGAATTTTATTAAATTTTTTTTAAATAATTGAAATTTATCCAAGAATTTTGTTAAAATCTTTGACAATAATTTAATTCTTGAGAAGAATTTCGCTATCTATTTATGAAGATAATTTCATTCTTGATGAGAATTTTTCAAAAACTTTGAAAATAATTTAATTTCTGCAAAGTATTTTTATAGTTTTCAAAAGAATTGAATTCTTTCCTCAAATTTTAATAAAATTTTTAAGAATAATTGCATTTTTCAAGGAATTTATTTAAAATTGTATTAAAAAATATTTGAAATTCGACGATGAAAATAATTGAAATTTTGCAAAGAATTTTATTTAAATTTTTGAAAATAATTGAATTTTTGTCGAAAAATTTTGCTATTTGGTAAGATAATTAAATTTTTAAGGAGATATTTATTAAAATTTTTAAAAAGAATTAGATTTTTTGCTAAGAATTTTATTACTTTTGAAAATAATTGAATTCTTGTAATTTTTATTTATGAAAATAATTAAATTTGTATTAAAAATATTTGAAATTCTGCGATGAAAATAATTTAATTCCTAAATGAAATTATTTTATTTATGGAAATAATTCAATCTTTTCATAGAATTTTATGAAAAAATTTGTTCAATAATTCATTCTTTTGATAAATATTATGAAATTAGTAAATTATTGAATTGGAATAATTTAAAAAAATTATTAATTTTAAAAATAATTGAAATTTTGCATAGATTTTTATTTAAACTTTTGAAAATAATTGAATTCTTGTGATTAATATTTTTATTTATGAAAATAATTCAATCTTTTCATAGAATTTTATGAAAAAGTTTGTTCAATAATTCATTCTTTTGATAAATTTTATGAAATTAGTAAATTATTGAATTGCAATAATTTTAAAAATAATTGGAATTTTGCATAGATTTTTATTTAAACTTTTGAAAATAATTGAATTCTTGTGATTAATATTTTTATTTATGAAAATAATTGAATTTGTATTAAAAATAAAATTATATTAAAAATATTTGAAATTCTGCGATGAAAATAATTTAATTCCTAAATTGAATTTTTTTTATTTATGAAAATAATTGAATCTTTTCATAGAATTTTATGTAAAAGTTTGTTCAATCATTCATTCTTTTGATAAATTTTATGAAATTAGTAAATTATTGAATTGGAATAATTTAAGAAATAATTGAAATTTTTCATAGATTTTTATTTAAACATTTGAAAATAATTGAATTTTTGTCGAAAAATTTTGCTATTTGGAAAGATAATTGAATTCTTGACGAGATATTCGTTCAAATTTTTAAAAATAATTGAATTTCTTCAAAGAATTTTATTACTTTTGAAATTTGAAAATAATTGAATTCTTGTGATGTTTATTGTTATTTATGAAAATAATTGAATTTTGTAAAGAATTTTATTAAAATTCCTCAAAATAATTGAATTTCTGTGAAGAATTTTGTTATTTATCAAGATAATTGCGTTAAAACTTTTGTAATAATTAAATAATATTAAAAAAAAACCATTTTTGTCAGAAATAGAAAAAATTTATAAAGGTTTGGTATTAGAATTAGTGGTATAGTTTCGTAGTTTATGAGGCAAAGAAAATTCTGAATTTTCTTATGAATTCTAAAAATTAAATTTTTTTTTAGTACTTTTAATAAAAATCCCTGACTTTTCCCTGATCAATTTTATAATTAATCGAACTTACAAAAATGATTTCATATTTTTTTCGGTAACATGTAGTAAGTAGTATAGTCTGTTCTAGAAGTACGTATTTCATTCTGTTCCATTCGGTTATAAAATAGAATTCCTTGTCCATCATGACACAATTAAATTGCTACCAGAATAAAGAAAAAATATTCTGAATTTACAGAGCATTCAGAATAAAAAAATAATAAAAATAAAATACATTGTTTGATTGACGTTCACTCTTGTCAGATTGAAATCTGTTTGCGTGACTTGATTCTACACGCTAGTAATTCTGAATATTTCAATGGACTTTAAAAGAACAAAAAAGCTTGCCAACCATCTGATAAATCTGATGTACAAAATATAAAATTTTTAAGCAGGGTTATAAGATATTTTTTCTTCGTCAATTTTTTTTTTTAAAGAAATGCATGTCTATTGAAATGCTTCAAAAACTAGCGAACCATGGTCAATGACAAGAATATTTAAAACTGTTACACATCTATTAAAAATAATATGAATCGTGGTTCCTAAGCTATTGGATGTAAAAATCCAAGCTTAAAAATAATTTATTAATTACCTGAATTTTAATATTTAATTAAATTAAAACAAGTATTGTTATTCATCATATTTTTGGGACGTAACAGACAAGAGATTCGGAATAGGATTTTGCAGAAAAATAGTCAGTATAGCTAATCCAGATATTGGAAAAATGTATGTCGTGTTCTAAGCCAATCTGGTGTCCGAGTTAGCTAACGAATCAAATTCAACTGAACTTAGCTTTGAGTCCTTAAGGCCTTGTAAAAATATTTAATTAAAAAATCAATATTTATTTTGTTTAGATAATTTTTCACCAAAAATTCCACCTTGTTAGAGAAACAATCGCCTTTAATTACTTATTATAATATTGAGCACATAATGGCAGGTTAAAAGCGAGTTGCAACAGGACGTAAACTTAGGACGATCTAACCGTTTGATAAGGCACGTTTGCATAATCCATAGATATCTGGACGAGCTTGCTTATACAATAGGGTTCTAATCCGTTCGTTCCATCAAACTCGAGACTCTAAAGCTAGCGACCAGCGATCGGTGACTGAGCTTATAAAGGCTATTACGAACCATCGTACCGCAACTAGGTAAAGCACTATGAACACTACAAGTGGAAAACAATTGCAAAAATTTATTATCTTCCCAAAAATTAATCAATTATTCATTTCCAGTGAATAAATTCTTTAACTAAACACTATTATTAGATAGAAAACAAAATTCCTCTTGATATACAAAAAAAAATAAAATAAAAAGAGAAATAGTAGTTCATTCCGTTCTCACTTGTAAAACATTGCAACTCGACTTTCTGTTTTTTTATGCGTTCCATGCTCGCGTTAAATTCACGAGGATTTTAAGTTTACTACCAGGGCTGCTCTGCTAAAAATGGGATTTTATACCATACTCCTACTCGGGGAAAAAAAAATTCATTGCAAAAAATTCTTTTTTTCATTTACATATGAAATAGGAAAATGTTTTTTCTTTATTTCTGATTTATATTTTGCTTTGGGGAGGAAAAAAAATTTAACCCATATACTAAATTGTTCATTTCATAAATTTTTCTTTTTGTCTTTTTATATAAATGGCAAATTAAAATATACAATAAATAGAGGAAGAGAAAAGTAGAAAAAAAATATTGTCTCATACAGAGACAGAAAAATCAAATATAACAATCGATTTTGACCAGAATTCCAATAAAAGTGCAATAAAGACGGCCACCTCTATACTTTGTTCGTGATTTCCCCAGGCGAATTAGCACTGAATAAAGCAGCAATTTATTTATTCTGTCAACATTCCTTTTTAGTTTTCAACAATAACTTGAATACTTCACTTAAAATAATTTTAAAATCGAGAAAATATCCCGAGAAGAAAAAAATGTGTCTTAATCCCCAAAATGCGATAGCAGAAAAAAATCTAAAAGCAATTAATTCCATAGCATGAACATTTTTCAGTAAAACAAAAAATTTAATAAAATACATGTAAAATCTCACACTCCGATTCGTATTCAGAAGATAAAAGAAAGCACTGAATTAAAAAGCAAATACATTCCCCGCAGTACAAAGAGAAGTGTTATTAGTTAAAATTAAAAAAAAAACACTTTTTTCAAATATGAAAAAATTTTTCGTTCACAAAACATAAAAACAAAACGAATTTAGCATTTGTTTTAATCTAATTTCAAGCAT